CAGACAGTAAGCGTTATAATGAAAATGGGTTATTTAATTAAGTGTTCATGAAATCCATTGCACACCAAGAATGTGCAGAATACACGTTCACTATGCCAGCGTGGGCAGGACATTCTCATTCTTCTCTAGTTTTCTACTCCAGCTTCTGTAAAGGAAATGAAAGAAGGTGAGCATTCTCGATTTCATACTCAAGCAAACGGTGGTGAAGCACAACTCCATTGTGGATAAGATTTCATTTTGAAAAAAAACAAAGTGTTATGCACTTATGCTAACTGGTGACGTTTCTAGCACAAACTATTGCACATAATCATGTCAATGAAGAAATCAGTTGTGTGAGCAAGTTGATATGATTATGATCAACAGTTTGGGCTGGAAACATCATCAGTTAATATTACTGTATTAGACAGAATGATTTATCAAAATCAAATCTTATCCATAAAGCAAATGAGGCTGAATGTTATGAGTATTGGAAGAGGCACGAGAGAATCGACTAGTTTTAACTACCGATGTAAACTTTTGGACTTAAGGAACACACAACACCCATTGTGATCGTCATTCCGCACTCCAAATGGCTGAGATTCAGTGACTGCAGTCATCCTGATCCGGTCATCTTATTTCAGATATCTCAAATGCATGGGTATGATTGAGGGTGTATTGGGTATGTCTGACATGGTTCAAGCAGACTTGACCACAACTGTTGTTCACATGAGAAGAAGACGTCGGTTGGGTTTTGTTGAATATCAAGTCTGTGATACACTGCATGATTGTCTTCATCATACCAGGTATGATTTCATATTGTATGATATGGCATGAATAAATAGGTGGTTCACCGAATCCCACTACACCTGTCTTTCGTGTTCAAAGTACAAATAATACTATTTTCATGTGGACTGCATTCACATTCTAGTTATACATATTTATCTAAATAAATAGGTTGGTATTTTCTATCATGAGTAAATTTTGAATTATGATAAATGGTGATTCCGTATGAGATAGTAGGTGCATCTTACGTTTCAACTTCTGGATATCTTCTTCAAGTAATCTCTTGAGCACTTGAAATTAAAAGAGCAGTGTAACGATGACATATTAGTCGAATGAAAATTAGTCTTTTTCATCAATGTGTAAACTCCTTCTTCGACAACTGATAGGATCTGACAATGTGCAGAGTAATAGAAAACGTTGCATACGTTTCTTTGTCTACGAACTGTTTGATGAAGGGCATATCACGCTCAATCATTCAACACTTCATATAATGTGGCAACACTCATGTCTAGGTTGGTCACAGTCATTCAGTAGAACCCGTCAATTATTCTAACTTCAGCGTTGTAACGAAGATTCACTGTCACTGTTGTATTGATTAGTCTTCCTGACGTGTATAGGCATACACGTGTCACAGTCGCCTGAATTTAATCTATTGTTACGCGAACACAAGTACTGATCTAGTTCCTTCTTTGAATTTCCACGTTGCCTGACAAATAAGTAGTCAATTGTGCGTGTGTGAGTAAGATCAGCCTGTGTGAAACTAAACTGTCACCTGCCGACATTTTGACGATTTCTACCTGGAAAGTAATCTGTTAGTGGATATTTCAGACTACTCTGGTTTTCTGTGTGATCGGTTGACATTCTTCAGTGAACAGACCTACAAACTGCCAAAAGTTGTGTACTAACTACCAACTGATGCACAACGCTGTGTAGACTTAGACATTCTAAGATGATTGTATTGCTGCTTTTGGTTTGAAATGAGATCAATGTCCATGTTAATAACAAGGGTTATGTGATTATTGCAATTGTTGATTATGCGGAATACCAGGTAATCGTTTGTGCTTTATATTGTGAATAGATATTGATGCATAAATCAAGTGTGTAGAACGCATGAACAAAACAAATTGCACTTACTAAGGGCTGAAGCATAGAACAGTTTGCGCTCATAAACATCTCTTATTTTATGCTTCAAGTCTGTTATATCTGAAATTTGAAAGATAATGCCTGCATTCTAAAATTGAATGTCACAAAATCAAATGGTGAACGGTTATCATGTGGAATACTGTGAAATAATTGGTGGTTTGGTATAATGTGTTGTCGTTGAGATAGACGATTACCTCATCCACGTTATCCCTCCCTTAAACGTCGATTATTGCATGTCTTTGGAGACAGTAAGAACACTTTTGATAAACCCTTGGATTGACATATAATTTCTCATCGTGTGTTGAAATCGGATAATTTTGACGCCATCAGTTTTGGTCGACTGGCAAATCTGTCTTATATGTCAATGAACATGAGTGTTTAAATCACAACAACTGCAGTCTCAACTACAACAGACAGTTCCGCAGACTTCAGATTTCACGTCATTACACTTCTCAGATGTAATGTGTAATAGCAACCCTGAAAAGAAAGCCATCTGATATTAAACCTGATACAGTATCCTGCACATTGACAGATGTGCTTCGAATTCACTGACAACCCTACCAAATTGAGAGGTAGGTGAATCCTGTGAATCAAAATCTCATGAAAATACATTGGACTTTCAAGAATTGACCTGATGAAATTCAGAAATTTTCCCTCAATATCTTCCAAGGCAGTATTATTACGTAATTTAATTCAAGAGTGACTGGTCATCAGTAGATTACCCAAACGGTTTCCTGTTGGTATATAATCTTCACAGTCGAATGCTTGTTCTGCTCGCAACTTAGCTGATGAAGAAACAGAAGAGAGAGACAGAATAGCACATTGAAACAATGAGAAGCGAAACTTGTCATTATCAACAAATACTCATGCAAATACACACCTATGAAATGGCAAAACATCATACAAAATAATTCTGAACTTAGTTATCTTGAATAACAAATCTCCACTCTCAACTCTCTGGTTTGCACCTGAAATAATCAGGATAGTTGTAAAGTGAAATAGACACCGATATAACAGATAGGAATGTTTATTGAATAAGTGTGAAGTAAGAATGCAAACCTAACTAAACTGTTTACCTGCGTAAACATCAACCTCTTTATTGAGACATCCTCGAATGGTCTGCTGCTCTGGGAAAAGACCTGTATGTAAATGTATTACAAGCAAAACAGAATTTCATGTTAATTATCTTTGAAACGTAGTGTTAGATAAATGTGTGAATTTCACTTATGAATAGTGAGTGATTCAGAGGTTCGAATACATTCTGAAACTGCAATATGGTCTACGGTGATTGTCTTCGATGACTCTGCTAACCGATTGCGTAGTAACACACTGATAAGTGTTCTCCATAAAATGACCAGTTAAATATATGAGCAAATTTTCAATGAACCTCATTAGTGTTGGAGGAATGGCTATCAGTGGGTAGTAATAATTCTGATAAATTGCTGAAGTAACAATCAAGGAAGCATTTTGGATGGAGTGATCACTGAGAGTAAAGAAAGACGCTACGATGGATGATAAATGGGGAGTGAGCACTATGCAAGTCGAATATGAAATGACTACATAATCCCCAAGGATAACTTTTACGCTTGAATGCAACATTCTTTCATCCTGCATTGAGTTCTGGAAATAACATCAGACATATATATGCCATTGAGTTCCACTTATAACACATTTCCAAACACAGTCCCAAACTAGAACGAAACAGTTGTCCAGTACTCCCAGGTTTTCTAGTGGTTCTCTAACTGATGTAAGCTCATGAATAAATCCTCCATGCAATCAAACAAAATCCCTACAAAAACCAATACTTGAAAATTCATCTGGTGCTCACTAGTGACTGGCCCTATTCAGGCAGTTAACCTGGGGTTCTAGTGGGAGGCCGTGACCAGTAGGGTACAGCAGGTTGAAGATGAGGCAGTAACTCATCGAAGAAGACATTGCGAAGTGGTCGCGCTATGTCGTGAACTGGCAGAAGTTAGAATTCAAGGACCATTGGATTGGGTCCCAGTGGTTCAATGGTCTACGAGCTCGCCTTGTAACCAGAAGGTCCTGAGTTCGAATCCCGGTGGGTGCGTACTGCTGAGGAGTCCCAAACTAGGACGAAACAGCTGTCCAGTACTCCAGGTTTTCTTGTGGTTCTCTAACTGATGTAAGCTCATGAATAAATCCTCCATGCAATCAAACAAAATCCCTACAAAAACCAATGCTTGAAAAAACATTTCGGTACACAATTTATCAGTTAATTCTATGTGGTTTCCCCTGTCAAATAGATTCGAGGGATACATTTTAACTCTGATATCTTTCTTATTCTTTGAACTATATACTGGATGAGGAAAACGTCAAAACAACCACATATGAAGTCGGTTGACATAAAATAAATTTACCATATACATCAGCGAACCATTTCAGCTTGTCTAAGGTCACTGGAAAGTACAGAAAATGATAACTGACATTAGGAGATCATCCAAAAGAATAGTTCCTTATACAATACTGTATTGTATGTGGATTTACATCACACCTGATTAATTCGACAGTATGCTCAAGCATACTTCGTCAATCTATTCTGCTGATTATCATAATGCAATTCAATGGACCAGCCTACAATTTCACTCAGTTCTCGTGAAATTTATTATTCCTAATTACATCCAAAGACGGAAATGTTTCTCCTCAATCATTCACTTTCCATCAGGTTGTTTTCCAAACAACTGCAAGATGAATATTTTGATCGATTCAATGGAGTGTTCATTTCATCGGAATGTCAAGCTGACGTCATTTGCCTGATGATCGAATTCAGCGTCTTAACCCTTCTGATTGATGCTTGACTTTAGAGTTTTGAACACGGCACTAAAAAGCGAATGATGACATAATGTGTGCGTTAAACTGAGTTGTAGATTCAAGCAAGTTTATAACATCTCGAAGAAAGAAGTGAAATTCCATGAACATGTATCCCCTTCAACCACCTCAATGAGTCACATTCCCCTAGACACACTAAATCAGTGAGTAATCTCATTAGATAAGATAATTGTTTCAAGTCTTAAAGTGTGCTTTCAAAGTTGTAGGATCTCACTGAATTTTTCTAGCTGCAACATAGTCGACCTTCATTATCTAACACAAGATTATTGGCTAAATTCATCTGATAACCATGCGAATAAAAGCAGTATATACAGTTGAAATAAATCTTGGAACAGACATTTGAATAATTCGTTTCCGGAGTAGCTTTCATAAAATCTTCTGCAACAGCTGACAACTGAAAGAGATTGTTAGTCAGAGAAATTCATGAAATCATCACTCACAGTTCTCAAGGGTTCTCTCGCCGGATTCTGTGACTTCATTAATAATCTTATCTAAAGAAAGAGAGAGAGAAGTAAGTAGAGTCACTGCATGACACTGGACACCGGTTGGAAATTCAACATTTACTATGTTGGAAACAGCGAGTCAGTTGGTTATTACTGGAGCATGCCCACACCGTAGTGTATTCATTCTACAACAGAGTGAATGTCATGAACATGAACGTGTAAAATTACTTATTGGAGCGAATGCGAATGGATGAGAAGTGACTGAGAAGTCAGGTAGATGTGTTCTGATATCCTCACTTGAATACGTTTCATGTCAGCTCGCTCCACATAATTACAATACCTGAAGTCGAAGCATTTCCACTAAATAGTCTATGATGGAAATCTACTGAAAATATAACAATATTTCATACGAACACCATATGGCCAAATCGAGTATACCGAGCCAAATTATCAATCACATGGAATTATTACTTACTTTGCAGTTTTGTAATTTCTTCTTCATTCTGGTAATCGACTTAGCTAATTCGGGTAAATCATCTGTGGAAAAGAAAGGGAGACTGATTTCGAATAATTTACAATTGGAGGGATTTTACAAGAGACATGATGTAACGAAACATCAAAGTACACAAAAGCTTCTTTAGGTTAATGCAAGAAGAATTATATATCCATATGAAATCAGTCGTCTTACTCAAAGTGCCCTTAAGCAATTCTTCCATGTCTCCTAACTTAGACGACGTGCCTTTAAAATTGACAAAATGAAGAGAACAAACATTGTTACACAAACCTGAACTTTATTAACACGTGAACACGATGTAAGAATTTGTTAACTTTCAAGCCTAAAGAGCCATGTGATGATTTGTTGTATATGATTGGAAATCTGAGAAATTGCTAATTAGCAGAACACCAGTTGGAGGATTTGAATGTTTGCTGTATTCACTTACAATTTTGGAGATGGACAGATCAACGACATCAAAATACTTCTCATCACTGAAGGAGAGTGATGTGTTAAGGTGAGATACTGAAAACGGAGTGGTGTTGGAAACACAAGCAGTCTCCTCTCAGAAATATGATCACGGAATAGTCTTACACAACACTGATAGGATGGAACAGTAACATTCATCACAATGCAAAAAAAGGTTTATTTGAAAATAGAGTCACAAATGCACAGTCATTTTGATATATGCTTACTCTCGTTCATGGTGGCAAACACCAGCAGCGTTATCACAGATATGTAACGGTACATTGAGTTGAACATATTCTCTGCTTCCTTTGTTTTCTCTGGTTCCACTTCACAGCTTTTATACTCTTGCTGATGGTGAGTTGTAGTGTTGTAATGCGTTTGTTGTTTGATAAAAATAGTAGTGCTTATCTTGTTTTCCACTTGTTGAATTAGGCCCGTGTGTGTTGATTAGTTGTTGGCGGTTGGTCAAGTGAGTGAGTTTGTGATTGTGTGGGTGGGTTAGTGAGCGTACGTTCAGCATCAATACAGTATTCTGGTTTTCACGCTAGAAGGAATATTCTCCCTAGTAGAACAAGTTAGTCTTATAACAGAATTCCTGCTTGATGTTGATGAAACTCAAGAGTAAGTGTGGTTCGCGGTTGTATTCACCAATTAACAAACGTCTCTGACATACACGAGTGTCAAAACGTGACATATTTTGTGCCATTTGACCACACCTCGTAGATTATTTTGAAAGATGACTCTGCTGGAATTGTGTGGCTTGAGTTCGCCAAATGTTCGAGAATTCAGCGAGTGTCTGTGTTAATTTGTCCTTTTGTTTACCATGCGAGAAAGTGTTCACAGATGCGTTTGGAAAGTGTCTATTTTGTGCAGCCAAAATAACTTGCTTGATATAGGCGCATATTCAATTTTGTTTTTTTCAGGTTTTTTGCTTTTCATTCGTGTTTTACCCGATGAATATTTACTAAAGTAAAAAGTCTCGCTGCATGTGAGTTGCTTTCAAAATCTCGGATAATGAAGTGTAGTAGAGATTTGGTTGGATTCTGTTGTAAAGGTGATTTACGCGTGGGAAGAAGACTGTCACTTAATTCCTTTTCTTTGAATGAGACTGCAAAACTCCAATAATCAAGAGGCAGTAACATAAACAGTCGAAGCGAATTTGAGAGAAGGAGGATACTGCAAATTATCTTTTGTGAAGATGCATTGAGATATATCACATAACATTCGCCAGGCAGAGATTTTCTCAGCGGACTCCAGTAGCCGTAACAATGATGTTTGTAATTTTTCATAATATCCCGCTCATCTCAGTGTTCCGTAAGAGTTGCATTCACTAGGCCTCATTCAGATATATCACATGAAAAACCAAGATTGATGTTAGTACTGATCGACTCAACACTACCGACAAGCTATTTTAATAGTCTGTGAAACACGACAAACATCCTGACTTAGACCTCTTCTCGTTGACAGGAGATGGGTGCAATATGATCGGAAGGAAAAGCGCATATTATACTAAAGTTACTTATAGACTTTTCAGTGTACTGATAGAAACCAACACTGTGAATAACATGGTCAAACTGATGTGTAATTAAACGACTATATTGGTTTTATACTTGGTTGATCAATACATCTCCAACTGATCATCTGTCCTTCATTATCGCTTGCGTTGATATCGAGTCGATTGTTATGAGCGTAAAGTAGTATTCCAGAGAATTGTCTTCTGAATACAGCAACTTTTGTTTTTATTTCTGTCGACATCATGTCTGAAATCCTTTAATCACGACACAGACTAGGTCTCAGTGATATACAAAACTCTTCCCATCACAACTCCTACGGAAATGCTTCACTTTACAGGGATACAACACATACTGCCTGAGAGGAATAAAAGGTGGAGCTTGTACCAGTAGCATCTTCTGGATGGGGTTTTCATTTTGTGCCAATAACCATAACGTCTCTATTTGCAACAACAATGGAGATGCTTCTATTGCATGTTCGCAAACCCCTTTGATATCTTTTAATGATCCTGATAAGTTTACTTACAAATGCAGATGAAACACGTTAGATGCTGTCGTGTTACTCCACTGCAATATTGTTTCAGGTCTTGATATGTGCGCGAAGCCTGTTTGAGTCTTTTTTCCAGAACACTTTGCTGCTTTTGACTCTACTGCAACAGCGCTTTTACTAAGCTGCTTTCAACACACATCGCGTCTCGGGTTACAAGGTGGCTGCCTTTTTTGCGAGTTGAAAAAACAACACACTGTTTTTGATGAGACTCACTCGATTTCACTGCTGAAAGAAAACTAATAATAATAATAATAGTAATTTTGCTTTATTCCAGAAACAGTACTAGTGGTACAATGTGGAATATTCAGCATATATCTACAATATTGCATCTTTTTTTATCCAACATTTAAAAGGAGTATTTCAAAAAATATGTGTGAAAAAAGACAACAAAAAACATAAAAATATTAAAAAATGTGGAGAAATACTAAGAAGTGGAATGGAAAATAAACAACATAATATCTCAGTATTGTGTAGTGGAAGTTATGACGTGTCTGTACGTGGTGACAGTAAAGCTATAGTCATACTAGAAGTTATGAAATGATATTCAAGAATGTGTATCGCCAAGGTGATCAGTTGATTTGATTGAACAACACTAAACAATCATAAAATAACATTTCAGGTTGTCTTTTTACTGTCAGATGTAATGCGGTGTTTATAGTGGTAGAGTCAGTAATCCTGCATATTACAAACTTCTTAACATGGGAATAATGGCATTCACAAACAAGATTGTCAGATAATATTGCTGAACACAAGCAACCACAAGACTAATATTACATGATAGTTAATGACAGGACAATTTTGTAATACTCAGTGCTAATACAGTCAGGACCAGTAGATACACAAAAGAAGGAATAGAATAAAGAATAAAAAAGTAAGCCATTGTTAATAATTTAGGTAGCTAAGTATGTTTAAGAAGGTTGTTCACTATAGAACACAAATAAGAGAGAAATAAAAAAGCCAAAATTATGTTATTAACAACAAAGCAAGTCATACGTTTCGCGCTTAACATTGTCTCTGTCACTTAGAACACGGGCTGGTCATATTTGGTATTGCTGAGTTCCTATACTTGGTTGTACGAGCATATATTATTTAATACTGATTTCTGGTTCTACCTGATAGGGTACAAGGAGAAAATCGGGAATAGAGGGGTGTTTAGGGTCGGAGAGTATGGTTTCAGACCATTTTTCTTATGTATTCATATGCCTTACTACTAATGTATACACGAACTGACTGAGTTTTACACCACTAGTCCTACCAACTACTTTCAACATCCTTCTCAGGATGGTATAATCCTTTTTCAGTAGCCGAGGAAGGACTAATGTGGAGCAGTAAAGTAGAATAGGTAAGATACGAGAGTTTACAAATTGCAAAAGTAGAGGTTGGGTGATTCCAGATAGTCTGAGTTTCTTAATGTAGTAGGTAAGCCGAAACAATTTCTTGGAAATTGTTTGGATATGAGATGTCCACGTAAGGTCGAAAGATAGAACTAGACCGAGGTATTTTGCATTAGGCTTAGTTTCAATGTTAGTTCTCTGAATCCTACAGGCTTTGTGAGTACTTACTAGTGTTTGTAGATCTCGTTTATGCCTAAAGGAGAAGTCAATAACCTGCCATTTTGAGGGATTCAGCATGAGGCCATTTAGTTTAGACCACTGACTGATGTCCGAAAGGGAGCTATTTAATTTGAAACAGTCTGACTGAGACCTAGCGGGGAGCGAAACATTCAGGTCATCTGAATATTTGACGAAGTTGATTTCATCTGAAAGAGGTAGGTCATGTAGGAAGAAGGAAAAGTGAGACGGAAAAAGAACAGCACCGTGAGGAACTCCAGCTTCAGGAAGCAAAAGAAGAGGAAGATGCACAGCTATATACCGTGTACTGCATCCTATCAGAGAAGTAAGAGTGCAGCCAGTTGATAGCCCAGGACTCAGTTTGTGCAAGGCTAAGCTTGTTTATCAAAGGCCTCTAAGTAAAGAGTCGAAAGCAGATGTATAATCAAGGAACGCACAAGGGACATACTTGGCCTCTTTGTCTAAGGAGGATACAATGTTGTGATGAAACACAGCAGCAGTATACAAAGTACTTCTACCCTGTTTGTAAACTGCAAACTGCTTCGGATCATTTGAGAAGCTTAAGGAGGGAACAAGTTTTTGTAACAATAATTCCTCCATTAATTTCAAAAAAGGAGAGGTAATGGCAATTGGTCTAAACTTAACACTATCTCCAGAACCTGACTTGGATACAGGGATGATTTTAATATCTTTCCACAGAGAAGGTACAACATCATTAGAAAAAGAAGTATTGAAAATGTTTGTAAGTGGGTTACTTAAAATATCAGCATATTTCTTTAACACAATGGCAGGTATACCATCAGGACCCAGACTCTGAGAAGGTTTAAAGAGATTTTAAGCATTTAAGAACATCAGAAGTATCAAAAGTATGAAAGTCCCTGGTCAGGTGATTTTTTACAATGAAACTAAAAGGGACATTAGGAGGGCGAATAAAAGATCTATTAGGAGTATTTATGTCAACAGAAGGGGCACAAATACTATGCTCACCACAACCTGTATTTTCTCTGAAAAAAGCTTCCACATGTTTCCTGAAGTTTTACATGACAATACTCTTTCATTATAAATATCGTTAAGCCTGTTGCTTTCAGATTTAATTTGGATATTTATCCTCCTAAGACCAGATTTATCCTTAGTCTTGTACAGTCTCTGTGTTTCTCTCGGAAGCTTTCTGAGATGAGGAGAAGAGAAACGATCCATTCTTTTGAAAAGTATCTGTTTTGGACAGCAAATATCAAGGCAGAATTTAAGATAAAAAGTCAGATTGGAAATAGTATCATCCAGTGTGTGTTCGGTGAAAAGTTCCCAGTTTCTGTCATTTAACATACGTCTTAAATTAAGCACATTTTCCTGTGAGTAACACGTTTGTTGTGTTTTTCTGGACAGATTTGAGAGGATAATGGAGTGAGATCTGTTATATATCTTAGGTAATATCTGAATAATAAAATGATCAGAGCTTATTATAGGAGCATGTCTGCGTGACTAATATATTTCCGCGTCATTACTAAATAATACATCCAGTGTTTTATCAAGTCGAGTAGGAAATTTAACAATATTGACATGACCTAATGATTCAAGAAAAGAACTGTCACAACAATTGAAATCTCCTGTGACAACTGACAAAGAGTTTTCGAGATGTGTAACAGCTTATTCAGTGAATTCACA